TCTTTAGTTTGTAATAATCAATCAATAACGAAATTTAGCAGGGCTGTTAAATAAATACTGTTAATTAAACTATTATTTTGATATGTATGGTTCTTCAAGGTCTCACATTTTTATATATCTTTAAGTCAAAATAATAATTAGATTTCGGGCAAATTAAACTCAAGTGGATTTCTGGAATAAGGTGCATTACAGGTAAATGTATGACCAAACTCAAAATTCATGAAACTAATTATATATAGTCCCAAAAATTCGTTTAGAGAAATTCAAATTTTAAACTCGACAGATAACATATACAATTACTGCAGACTATGCTCGCCCTTTATCGACGTTTCAAACAAATCATAGATTTAACCGGAGTATGTTAACGGGTTAAAAAAATTACAAAACAATAATAAAATAAATATTAAAACGACATAGCTTTAAAAGCAAAGTTGGTTTTATACTAAGTTATAATTCTGAGTTACTTTAAAGTTTATATTATGTAAAGCTTGTTTGTTCTCTCAAGCCTGATAAAAAAATTCTTTATATTCTTCACTTTTTGTTTTAACTTAAATATTACAATTATTGTCGATTGTAAAATATTCGTTATTTTATTATATTTCTGTCTGATATTCTTACTAAATATCTGAAGAAAATTGTAAATGCTCTTTATTATGCCTTCCCAGCTATTAGAGCTATAGAAGTAAGAAGGTACTAGCTACATAAATTTAAAAATTTCTATTATTAAATATATATATTTTAGTATTGATCATAGTATTTTATCACCAAATTTAATAGATCCTCTTAGTCTTATATCTCTTTTAATGTCTCCATTCTTTTGAACAAGTTTTGTTTGATTAATTTTGTTTTGTCTTTGACTTGAAGATTTAATTCTTGGAACGTTTGTTGTGGTTTCTGTTGCTTCTATATCGAAAATAGTGTGACTTGTTGTTGTTACAGTTGGTAACGGTCTCAAGGTTTTGTATCTAACATTCTTGTGTTTACTTAAATTAGTTCTTTTTCTTAAGTTAATTGGTAAATTAACATTGGATGTTGGAATCCAACTTGAAGTATCTGCAATCGGGAAATTGTGTTTTAAATGAGCCATAGTTGCATTAAACTTCTCCTCTTTAATTTTTCTTAAAAACTCATTTGGATAATTTTGAGTTTCAATAGTTATATTATTAATTGCATAATTTGCTTCAGACTGATTTAGATCATCATACATAGACGTAATTTTGTCTGGATTTTGTCTTGGTATGATTTTTGATTCCTCGGCATTTATTTCAGTAACTTCATAGGATTTGCTTGGGATAGAATCAATTAACTCAAACTCAGATATTTCGGAGATCTGTTTTTGAGGTTTCGGAAGTTTTTCACCAAATATATTAGTATGTAGTGCACTTATAGGTTGGGGTTTTAAGATAGAGTTCTCTGTTTCTTGCGTTTGCTCAATATCATGAGGAATAGGAATCCATGAACTATCAAATTCTGTAATTTTTCCGTCGATTACATCATTTGTGAAATTAAAATTATTTTCCTTCGTATGCGTAACATATGGTGACATTTCTTTCTTTTCTTCGTGTTCGGTTGATAAGCCCTGTTCTGCTATTATTTCTTGATCACGTTCATACTTTCGCAATTCTTCCTCATTAGGGAAATTTATTTTCTTTACATTACTTACATTTTCATCAACAATTGACTTGGGAATAGGAATTATTTTAATAGTTTTTTTTGGTAAGCGAATATTTAAAATCTTAACTGGCTTTTTACGTGCAGTTCTTACGATGTATTTAATTTTGGTTGATTTTGATGGTTTGAACTGGTATACACTACTAGGTACTAGATTAGGTGTATATGTTAATGCTTCTGCTTTAGGCGATGCTCCTGGCAATAAGTCGCCAAACATATTTCCCATAGTCCGAACGCCATGCATTAATCCACCCATGGTTTGATCCATTTGTTGCCACATGAAACGCCGTTCCGGTCTAATATTATTATATAATTCTTTAATCATTTAAATGAATTTGTTATAGTGTCTTGAACCAACCTGGCATGAGTTCCTGATCCACCTCCTCCGATAGTATGTAGATATAAGAAACATATTGAAATGGTAACTTTAGAGTGAAACAGTTTATGCAAAATTCTCATTACTAAGCTCTGTGAAAGTTCAATTCACGAAACAATTATTCCGTTTTTTTGCAGAGTATATTTTTTCAAACTTACGCAAATAAATCCGACTTGCAGCAACATTTTTATTATATTTGAATTTAAAAGGCTCTAAATTGCTTACATTTGCTACCAGATCCGATGCGGCATTGACTGCGAAATCATTAATAGTAACCATTTTATACATATCGCTTTCTCTAATAAAATTCCTCGCATGCATTGAAAGCATGGCTTTGGTAGGATCACTCACCAAACTCTCTGCAGTGCTTGTAGTGGCACGATTGACTGTGAAGATTGTAGAGTTCAACGAAGCATAGAATTTCAGCCTTTACACAATGGTAAATAGAGGCAGTCTAGTTTTGTTATAGTTTTGGAAAACATAAGTGATGATCTTAACTACATACCATACATATATAAATTATTTGTGAATTAATTAAATCTATATATCGTGGTAATTGTTTGGACCTGACTAAATTTCGTACAGAGTCTGTTTTTAAACGAAATCTTGTAAACTGACTGGTCAATCAGTTATCTACAAGTATATATACAAATACTATATATTCATTTCAAGATTAAGTATGCTAAGTTGTTGTCTAAAAAGTAATTAAATACACAACAATGTATTTAAAATAATAAGGAAAGGAGTTAAAAATTAGATTTATTAGATTTATTTATTAGATAAGCTTAAAAATATTGTTATTTTTTGTGAGTTTTAAAATACTTTCGCTACGTGTGCATAGGGTATCTTAGCGTCGGCGAAGATGAAATTTAAATGCCTTTTAATCATTGGTTTTAATTATAATTAGTTCCATCAAAGTTGTTTTGCAATTATTGAAGTTTATTTCGTTTTCGCGATACAGCTTCCTTCCTTCCTTCCTTCCGCATATGCATATGTATTTTTTTTCATAATAATTTTATTAAAACATGTTAACATTATTAAAAAGTTAATATTATTGTACACCATACTTTTCACTGAAACATCTCAAAGCGTTTCTGAAATTTTTATTTTGGTTTATTAAATTATTTATTTATTTATTTCTCATGAACCTAATTTTAATTCATCCACACTTATATTTCATATCTTCTATTCTCATTGGTTTTAATTAATTTAAGGTAAATGACATTTTTTTACAAAACAAGTGAAATATTTTGATATATTATTATAAAAAATAAAATACACCTTACAACACCTATAGTCACTGAATGTTGATTCATTTGTCAGTAGGAGTATTTGTACATTTTTTGCAATTTTAATAGATATACAGTACTATCTAAGTCAATCAATTAAGTCGACCTCAACTATTGATATATTCACATTATAACACCAGTTTTACATCTTCGTTCATTAGTTCACATTTAAAAAATTTAAGAGTGAATATTTTTACAGAGAGAGGTTTAAACAATATGAAAATTTTAAACACATGATCTCTGATCCCTGAACTTTTAAGATTGAAGTAGCATCTATTAGATAGTCTGAACATTTACTATTAACTGTGGTATTTTAAGATATCTTCCAATTAGAAAGTACCTGTCGTCTAAGCTAATGATGCGTTGTTAATATTCTAAATGGCTATTCACCGAGTAGAGTAATGTCTAAAGCGGGTATTACACATTATTCTTGGCGCGCATCATTCACTACCGACAATATTTTGAACATTCTTCAGCAAAAAAAAAAAAATACAATTACACTACAAAATAGAATTATGCGCGTAATGAAACGATGTTTTCGCTTTAATGACATAAAACAGAATGATATTTGCATGAAAGCCGACAAAAATAAGGATTGTATGCGAAAAAAACGGGATGTCTGATGACTTGGCAAAAATTTCGTATTTCAATGCGTCAAGTCAACAGCTAGAATTCATGTGTAATACACCGTTTAAATATTATACTTAATCAAGTTAAGATTACAGTTTGCGGAGACAAGTAGTGACACACTTGTGACACCAACATAACGAGGCCTGATATTCCGCCCACTGCAAGACCTATCCCATACAAAATTTTCATAAAAAATCATTCATTACCGTTATAAAACAATCTTTTACTCTTAGTAGACTATATATATTTATTACGTACATAACAACACAACCGTATGCAAAAAATGGGCGTGATCCGCCAATTTGTTCTTAAGTTATTTGAAGTTTTATGCCATTTTAGCGAAATTGCGGTTTCACAAAAATTGAGCGAACTTTAAACTCTTATAACTTTTTATCATTTGGCTATTACCAGGAAAAATTTTATGAAAAAACAGAAATTGTTTATAAGCCGCGTTATGTCAACTTAATAGAACAGAACATAGTACTAAAAAATCTAATATAGTTGTCTTATAAAATGCCGGATCAGATATAATTTTTATAATTTATTTAATTACCAACCTTTTAGGAAATCTGTATATTCAAGAAGGTTTAGAACATTATCATAGAAAACTAAACTAAAGAACTAAACTAAAAAATATCCTTAATATTAAGGATCCTTAGAGGTATTTTAAAATATATAATTGATATAGGATGCAATTTCCTTAAATCATATAATTTATTTAAGTATTAGTTTTTAAATCGTAATGTTAAATTATATATCATGTTTCATTTTTAGATATGTACATGGGATTGGATCTGAAACGCGAAACTCCCTCTTTCACTTACATAATGGACAGGATATTGTTCTGGTAACAACATGTCGACATGGCAAAAGTTGGAGAGAGTTGCAAGATGCGAGATGTGATGAAGATAACAGAGACTATGACAGGTATGCTACTTATATATGATAATTGAAGGTGTGAGGATGTGAGGGGGTTAATAAATAAGGTATATAACATATATATATGTTATATATGTATATAACATATGCGAACAGACTGAAACACCACAAGAAAGTATGTTTTACAAGTTGACAATGACTTATAATAAAAATGAGTTATAATAAAAACAGTTAATATCATTTACTGAATTAATTGTTAATAAAACATAAAAATACTTTCAATTTCAAACAAAATATAAATTAGTTTTGTCATTACAGTAAACTGCAGAGATATTTAAAAATAATTTAATAAAAGTTTAAATTTTGTAATTAAAATTGTATTTAATATTATTTTGATGATAACTAAACTACTTTTATTTTCCAATATACATAAAAATTATGTTTTGCGATTATATGAGAACTTCGCCACGCAATTAAAATAATGGCAATAGTCGAGTGGCCTAAATGCTAATCGCTAAAGTATGAAGTTAGGTTCGACCCTTGACTAAGTACAAGTGGTTTTTATTATTTATTCAAGTTATATTTTTATTTGATTCATAAGTGGTTATTGTTAAAATACTAAAATCAGTTCCTATAGGAGTTGAGTATTTTGTAACGCAGCCGTTTAAATCTAAATAATTTCTTCCTAATATTATTGGAGCTGAAAATAAGCCAAAGTTTGTCCAGCAATCCGTTAAATGTGTAGCTCTATGTAAGTATATGCACATAAATATGTTAATAAATTTGTTCCTAAAAATATGTAATTCCATTCAATTTATTAATTTTTGAAAACCCTTACCTCTGTTTAATTATAGATCTGATTGTCTGATCTTATAAAATCTTAACCGATTTAAATAATTTAAAATTGCCTTTATAAATTTTATAATAGCATTTATTTAAAATAAAATATCTATTGTGTAGACATTATATGCCCATTAGAAAGTCGCGAATGAATAATATGGTTTTTAGCTAAAACAATGTCGTAGGTCAGAAATGGTATTACAGTCGTAGGTCAAGTTAATCGGAGTATTTATTTGGTAGAGTATAAGTTTTCTTTTTTCTATTATAAAAAAAAATATATATATATATAAAATTAAATTAATTTTTTTATATTATTTCTTTTACATAACAGATACGATTATGAAACTCTTCTGCTAAATTCTACATTTTGCTTGGTTCCACGTGGGAGACGTTTGGGTTCATTTAGGTAAACATATTTTTTTATTTGTTTATATATAATACATATAATATATATAATTTAAATAAAGAAAATATTGTTTTATAAAGTTCTTATAACAGACATTCATAACATAGATTTTTTTCATATCGTTTGATTTAGGTTTCTGGAAGCACTTCAGGCTGGTTGTATACCTGTGCTGCTCTCCAATGGTTGGGTGCTGCCTTTTGAATCAAAAATCGATTGGAAGCAAGCGGTGATATGGGGCGATGAACGACTTTTACTACAAGTAAGGACCACATTGACATAAAAATTTATTTGCATATAATAAAAAAATAGAATATATAGCCACATCAATAGCTGATATAGTTTGCCTACATAAGTGAATTATTGGAAAGAAGCTTACATGTTATAAACGTGTGGCAACAGTAGCAATATAGCAATATTTCTAAAGAACTTTTTAGTTTTGAGAAAATAAAGAGACACAGAATTAACTCTGTAGCGATCATGTCGTATTCGATAAAATGTGTTCTCGCTTAAACAAATTTTACATTATTTAAATTAATGTGTTTTTTTACAATCAGTAGTATTAGTTAAGTGTGGTAAAAAAGAAGAAAATAGAGTTTTTTTTAGTTACCACGTACAAAAATTGATTCGTTTAGGCTTTCGATCATTAAATATGTATTTATAACTTAAGGCAATAGAATAATTAATATGAATTTCAATGTAAATGAGTTGTTGTTACTTCGAATATTATTTTCTAATATTTGACACGAGTTATGTTTTTATATGTACATTTAGCATAACATCGCTCTCTATGAAGCTAATAGCAAAAGCCCATATATCCGTCAGAACAATTCCAATCAAATATATTTGTTTGGCATGAATTGAACACACCCAATGCATTTCTTTCATGTGTATATATAAAAATGTATAATACAAGTAGTAAAGGGGACTGATAATACATCACAAAGGTAGTGTGTTTTGAGTTTATTGACTATAGTTAAGAGAGAATTAAAATGCAGAAGAAGATAGGTGGATAGAGTGATTTGGTTTTGGAACAAATTTCAAACTTTCGACTATTTAATGCAATAGCGGTTTTAACCAAACCGCACAGTAAATTTTTCTTGAAACTGGTGGTGCAACAGGTATATAAATTAATTTTTGAGTTGAAACAATTATTCAAAATATCGAACCGATCCCCCGTCCAGAGCATAAAATGTTTTTGTTTCAAAATAATCTACAAATTAGTTAGTTATGTATGTCTACATAACTAAACTAACATAACTCATGTAGAGTATTTAATATATATGTGTATTATTTATATTAAAATCTATTAAAAATATTTAGTGAGACCTTATAATAAAATTAGAATGTATACTATATGTTCTTAAAACATTACTTAACAACAAAATACCAACAATTTTCTCAATTTTATGATTGAGTCATGGGTCTATTTGTTCTTCAGTTTGCTACTATTAGACTGTACCAGTATATGACATCACTTGCGGTGTTGCGCTGTTTATGCTGTATTTTGCTGCTGTGAGAGATGTGTGAGAGACACTGAAGTATGTGACATTTGGTTGTAAAGAGATGAAAAGTCTACATATCCATTCTCGAGTTGAATCAATTTTTGCCAAAGAGTAGATTTTTATGTCCTCAGTGAAAACGACCCAAGCCGTTTTCAAAATCTTTTAATAAAATGCGATGCACTCGCTTAATACATACTAGTTATAAAGAACGCGTTTTAGTCACTATTTTACTGACTCATAGTTTCAAGAGCGATTAAATGGAGATTCAATAGTTCTAATCTAACCTAAGGTTAAGCTTATTTTATTTATATAATAATATTATGTTCTTATTTAATCATTAACAGAGAAATATCTTGTTTTGCCAGACTGCCGGTAAACAATTAATATCTTCATTGAATATCGCAATACCTCAACATATTATACTGTGATAAATATTTATTAGTTAGTATGGTTACTATATCTTATCCAGTAAAAATATTCCATATACACATTTCGATCGACACTAGTAGTATACTGTAGTATACTGTGAATTTGCTTCGAAGTATCTGCAATACCTTCATTCTAATACAGAATAGATGACGTTCAAGAAGCCACCTTTAAAATTTGGAAAATCAGATTTCAGAATGCCATAGCTTATTATCAGAATCACAATATTAACAATAATTTCCCAATATATATGTAATATCTCTCTCGGAAAATCTTAAGTGTTATTTTGAATATCTTGTAATCTTGTAAGAATTGAAAATATTTACTAGTATTAGTAAACTACGTTGAAAAACCAATTTAAAGAAATGTGTCTTAAAGTTTTATACACGATTCCATACTTTTTCAATCAACATGCTTTATCATAAATTATATCCTTCATTATGTGTAACTAAAGTATTGGTGGTATAAAATTACATATAATATAAATAATTTTTATTTTATTTAAATATATTTTATATAATTTAGCATCAAACATATTTGTTAATGAATCTTTTTCTCCAGATTCCTGATATGGTCCGTTCTATTCCTGCTGAACGTATATTCGCGTTAAGACAACAAACACAAGTACTATGGGAAAGATATTTTGGATCTATTGAAAAGATTGTTTTTACAACGTTCGAGGTAATTGCACTAGTGACTATAATTTATCATTTCTATAAAAAAATTTTTCGAAAACAATACTTTTTTCGTAATACCCCTAAGGGCCATGTTATGCAGAGTGTCTCGGGCACGGCATATTACGCTCTTTCGGGCAATGCCGAAAATGCCTGTTATGCAGAGTGTCACATCAGTATTGCCAATTTTGTATTTTTACTACTTCTTGGTTGTGCCTAAATTTGAAAGGAAATTTAGATATGCTCACTTTCAATTTGCCACCAAAAATAACTCGCATGAAAAAACACATAGAGGCTGTAATAATGTTAATTTATTATTATATTATCTTACAATAATTATGAACAGTACTTAACATTATTTACGCCTTTCTTTAAAACTGGAAAGTGTAATAATTATATTATTAGCGATTTATAAAAAAATGCTGTGTTGCTTATTGCCAGTTTTTCTCGAAAACGTACTAGAATTGTAGTAGTTTGCTCCTAAAAGGCGCAAATTTTGAAATTTATTACTAAACAACACTGTTTTGCCTTAGTGCCGGGGCACAAATACGACGGCTCTCATGCCGGAGTTTGAACGGCCATATTGTTTCTTCTCTCATTCTCAAATTTAAAATTTGCATTGAAAACAATAACAATTGTACTCATGCCGTGCCCGAGACACTCTGCATAACATGGCCCTAAGGGCCATGTTATGCAGAGTGTCTCGGGCACGGCAAATTACGCTCTTTCGAGCTATGCCGAAAATGCATGTTATGCAGAGTGTCACATCAGTATTGCCAATTTTGTATTTTTACAATGTTTTGATACTTTTTGGTTGTGCCTAAATTTAAAAGGAAATTTAGATAGGCTCAATTTCAATTTCCCATCAAAAATAACTAGTAAGAAAAAACTCATAGAGGCTGTAATAATGTTAATTTATTATTACATTATCTTACAATAATTATGAACAGTACTTAACAGTATTTACGCCTTTCGTTAAAACAGGATAGTGTAATAATTATATTATTAGCGATTTATAAAAAAGGGCTGTGTTGCTTACTGCCATTTTTTCTCCAAAGCGTATTAGAATTGTAGTAGTTTGCTCCTAAAAGGCGCAAATTTTTAAATCTATTACTAAACAACACTGTTTTGCCTTAGTGCCGGGGCACAAATACGCCGGCTCTCATGCCGGAGTTTGAACGGCCATATTGTATTTATTCTCATTCTCAAATTTAAAATTTGCATTGAAAACAACAACAATTGTACTCATGCCGTGCCCGAGACACTCTGCATAACATGGCCCTAACTTGAAATTTTTATAATAAATTCGTTTATTAACTTTTAACTCAAGAAATCTTTATCGAATAATGTGTCTATCACACATAATGTATATTCTGGAAAGTGTAGGTTTTAGTGGCACAATTAAAGTGTTAAAATCTTCTAACTTCTTTGAAAATGAATCGAAAACAATCGAAGTGTTACTGTTGAAATTATTGTTAATTTATTTTTATATTATTACAGTATAAATGAGTACAATTAAATAATCAAAGTCTGATTAAGAAGTCAATATTATGACAAAAGGAGCTATTTTCCTTATAGACATCATTCTTTTAATAGAGATTTTTTGAACAGTAGTGATTGGTCATCTGCATGGTCAGACAAAAAGTTCAATTCATTACAAAAAACGAAAATAATAACAATGTTGTTGTATTTCGCTACTGTTAAAAAAACCTCCCTCCAAGTTTTATTATAAATGTAATATTTAAGTGAAGATATTGCATTAATGACGAAATGCTATATAAGGCACTTTGGCAAATATGGACACTGCATATTAAAACATTTGCTAAAAATATTAAATTTAATTATTTGCATTTAATTTTTTATTGTGATTTGTTTCTATAAATTCTATTTAATTGTTTAACAATGTTTTTTATTTTGTATGATAGTTTAATATCATAAATTTGTATGCATATGTATAAAAACATACATTATCTATATATATATTTTTTTAATGAACACATTGATTTTAGTTCTTATTTAGAATTAATTTTGGGTGATATTTTACAATTCAGAAAATAATAGTAACATTTTTAAGGATATGTTTAATGCATCATCTTAACTTATAATAGAAATTAAAATTAATTCATCCATTGTAGTAGTAGTACAGTTATTGCCGAAGTTTAGAATAGTAGTGAGAAAAGGCTTCTCATGCCTGTAGATCCTGCACCAGAACCGAGGGTAAATCCACTGCCTGTGGTGCGGTGACGGGAAGCGTGACTGGAAACGTTTGTACGGATACGGTCGTAGCTGGCAACATCCTAAAAATAAAAAAATTACAATATATATAATGGAAAATTCTTAACAACACTTTAAAATTACTGGTCAAGTATAAATTCTAAATGTTGACACTGTCGGCAGATGTTACAAATACTACAAGTGTTGTAAATCGACAAAACTCTCACCTCTTTGTCGGCATTCGCCAATACACTTCGCATGGAGTCAGCTACAGGCCACTTCTTTTTCATAACCAAATTATGTGGTGGTTCATGAGCAACACCTGCATCAACTG